CACCATCACATACTGGACATGCATGTAAACCACGCAGTACTGTATACACCATGAGTGAAAAAGTGCAGATATAAACATCGGGTTGTAGCGGCACTTGGTTATTTATGGGTCTTGCGAGGTAGCTGAGTCCATCATATCCACGGGCGCATCCGAGCGCAACAGGGCCGTTACCTTCCACACCGCACGTCAAATGCTCACGGCTCTTTTGCCTTCATTGCGTTTCACTGCATGCTTATTTATATTGATCCCAATGCACTTTTACTTATGGATGCTCTCTGTTTTTTTTTTAGGTGTTTGCCGATTAAACTTTTTCACTCTGTACGCTTCGATACTTTGTCCTTTGGCTGTTTTCGATTCGACTTTTATCCGTGTCAAATTTTATTATTTTGACTTTTCGTCCTTCGACTTTTTCCTGATCCGACCTTTACTCCGTCGACTTTTATCCCAATGGACTATTTACGGTTGACTTTTTTCGTTCGTCGTTTTGCCGTTCGACTTTTCGTCCAGCAACCATACCGAGCATGTATTCGGCACTTCGGCACTGTGCAAAGATCCCCCAGGGGTACTTAAGCCCACTCATGACCGGTGCATGTAGTCTCCGATAAATGGGGAGTCGTGAGGATGCAGGGTGAAGGGAGGAGGAGGAAAAAGGGAGAATGCTACTTGTGTCGATATTCAACGCTCATGGAACAATTTGCTGCATTAGAAACGCACGAGACAAGGCGCACAATTTACCGTTTCTCTTGCTTAAGATGTGCGAAAATAAAACGGGGTCCAACACCTGACTCTGGTGGCTGCGCCTCGGTATTAGTTGTGTTTTATTGTGCGAACCATGACCACGAACTTACTTGCCAGGAACGATGCATGCGATATAGCCTAGCGATGTTTGTTAAATATAAACTTGTTTGCTCATAGTCTTCAGCACGTTTTGTCCTGATGATGATGCCTAGGCGTGTCGAAACAATGACTGATTGATGAATAAGCTGATGCTTTCATGACCATAAAGTTTTTACTTTGACGGACTGCATTAGGATTTTCCATGTATAAGATTACACACACACACACACACACACACACACACACACACACACACACACACACACAACCACACACACACACACACACACACACACACACAACACACACACAACACACACACACACACACACACACACACACACACACACACACACACACACACACACACACACACACACACACACACACACACACACACACACACACACACATACACACACACACACACCCACACACACACACAACACCCACACACACACACACACATGTATATATATATATATATATATATATAATATATAATATATATATGTGTATATTAACCTAACCTATATATATATATATATATCATACATATATATATATATATATATCTCTCTCTCTCTCCTTCTCCCCTCCTCTCTCTCTCTCATCCCTCTCTCGTCTCTCTCTCTCTCTCCTCCTCCTCTCTCTCCTCTCTCTCTCCTCTCTCTCTCTCTCTCTCTCCCTCTCTCTCTCTCTCTCACTCTCTGCTCTCTCTCTCTCTCTCTCTCTCCTCTCTCTCCTCCTCTCTCTCCTCTCTCTCTCTCTCTCTCTCTCCTCTCGTCTCTCTCTCTCTCTCTCTCTCTCTCTCGTCTCGCTCTCTCTCTCTCTCTCTCTCTCTATCTATATCTATATCTATATATCTAACTTATTTTAAATGTCTGCAGTAGGTATGGTTTTGTGTTCATGGCACTTCCCAAGCGCAGATTAACATTAGCCCTGGAAACACGAGCCAACATCTAGCTAATCGGTAATTTTCTCTTCGACCTTATCTAACGCCGTATGATTCCCCGGCAGTTGGTCAAAGCCCAGCATGGCCGCAATGGCCAGGTTGACCTCGTTTGGCTGGTCGTCAACAGTCCGTTTTTTCAAAAGTAGCACAGAGCAGTCTGCTCATTCTGAAGTTCGGGACCTATTGCCTTACTAGGTGTCAAGAGGTCTTCCGTTCACGGCCGGGCGCAAAACCTACTTACACACCGTGACTTTAACCCAGTATCCACTGAAGCATACGGACAGCACGCTCCCACCAGACCACCGTGCCCGCACAAATGCTGTGCATCAGCAAAGGTTGCAGTGGAACGCTGCTTTTTGCTTCCAGACTAGCCTAGCAAACACTAACTAAACAAGCTGAGGCGGTCCGGAGCCGTTTACAAGTCCAAGCAATGTGCTCTGTATCAGATACGCCTTCGTTTATATTATCAGGAGAGAGCCGTTCGCCAGGAATTCCATACCCTTGGGTGGAGAAGACCCATCCATTGGCGTCCACAGCAAGCAATCTTTTTTTTGGCGGGGGGGGGCTCATCTAGGTGATGTTGATGAGTATCCTGATCTCGTGTGAGACGCGGTGACCGGAATATTTACACGGATTTCAAAATCAACAACCCTCTTATCCAAACTTCTCACCGATTGGCTGCTGCTTCATTCGTTCCCCCACGGGATTTCTACTGCTCGGCCGTGGAAACACTAATGCCTGGGTATTGATCAAGAACAGGAACAACGAAGGGCTAAC